GGGGGAACTACGCTATTCTATCAGAGACCAATGTGCCCTATATGTTCTGCTAGTCAATTTAGCTCATTTCTTTAGGAAAACTTTGTGTTAAGATCCAAAGTTTGACATAGCATTTGACCCCATTTACATCAAGACCTGTCTGACAGGGATGCAATGTTCTAGATAGCAAGGAATAACAGGGTGCCGCGCCCTGCCTTCATTTTTATAACATGCATGTGGCGCCCTGCTCTTTTTGTTGACGCCCTGCCATTTTTATTGACCCCTTGCCCATTTTTATTGACCTCCTGCCCATTTTGTTAGCTGATAATTCATACTGGATGTATGTGCACAATTTTCCAAACATTTTCCATCTTCGCTAGCCAAGGGTTGATACGGTACGATGTAGTAGGTACATCGTACCGGATCAACCCTTGGCTAGCGAAGATGAACATTTTCTAGTTAAGTGCATATTTTGAATATTTTTTTAAAATAAAAAAAATCCTATTCAGCTGTAAGAGTATCCTCTGTATCAAGGTTAGTAGAATATAACTAAATCCATATATTGTCTACCACTGCACTTATAATCAATGTTTTCTAAAGTCTACAATTCATGTCTGAATCAGACTTTTGTCAATAATACATTTCTTGTTTTCCAGGTTGGATGACATTTTGTCCAGAATGGCTACAGGACAGCCCCAATCTGCGAACAGACAGCTTCCTCTATCTCTGGGTCTACCTTGTCTTCTTCAACATATTGTGGGTGGTTGTCCCCCTTGCTCTGCTTGTCCAGTCTTATCGAGATCTCTGCTTTGCCGAGGTTCAGAAAACTGTCATCACCGAAACAACAACAACGAAGCTCATCACACATAAATACAACACAAGGTCCAAAAAAAATGATTGAAGATACTTTGTATGTGGTTCTGGTTTCATAAATATATTTTTTGTTTTTATTTTTAAATGATAATGAAATCCAAAATCAAATTGCAAGTGTTATTTATTATTAAACGTTGGTGACATAAAACAGTGACATTTTATACATTTTTATAATAAGTATTTCAAGTGACACTTTACACAATTTGTTTAGGAAAATCTTAGTAGAACCAGATTTGTTGGTCTTTTCTCATGATCAGCGTGTGTATTAGTGTAATAAGGGAGTTAAAAATATGGTTCTGCACTATCACATGGTACAAAGTGGATTAGCTGTTTAGTTGTGCTCAAGTTAGATGTAATAGTTAGCCTTGTTGTATTGTGTTTTTATTTATGCATGAGAATTAGAAAAAGTGTTTGAAGGTATGAATTTGAATGTACCATTTAATAGTCTCTTAAAAATCAGGTGCCAGTTTCACAAATGTTTCTACGCTTGGATGAAATTTTCCTGTAGGAATGCATTTTAACCTTAACTAAGCTTTCTTATGAGATTTCTGAAGTTAAAGAACAAACGTTTGCAATCACACCTTCCCATGCTCTTTTGAAGCATAAAATTAGAAAAGAAAAGCCCTTCAATTATTATTAAATCCAATTATGTAAAGGTAAATATTTGACAATCATATAATTATGAGAAAATCAAAGTGTACTACAAAAATAATGTGATATAAATTAATGTAAATGATTAAATGCTAAGTATGTTTTGAACACAAACAGTAATTGAAAACTTTGCAAGCTTTCCAAAATATCTGTTTCCAGTAGTAAATGAACACTGATGAAGGGAGCTATAGGTTAGTGTGTAATACAGCCTAGTTTTGTGTAAGTGAAGGTTGTAATTGTGACGTAGTATTAATATTAAATCATCAACTTCTGTAAACATACTTAGTTTTGGGCATTTATATTTTAGAGAATTATCATATTTGTCAGATGAGGGCATTGATAAATTGGGGCACTCACAATATATACAATAATAAACAATATGTGGAATCTTCATAAGCCCAATATATGGAGCTAACAATTGGCTAAAATAGTATTAAAGCTAAACTAGGTATGTTTACAGTATCAAAGTTAAAACTGTTTTACTTATGGGTATGTTTTTAATTTTTTTTTTATCGTAAAACATCTTGTTTTTGTGAGCTTGTTATTTATGTTTTACTCAATGATTATAAAAGATTATATTCACTAGAATCGTTTTACTTGTACATAATGGTTGTCTATTTTTAGCTCACCTGGCCCGAAGGGCCAAGTGAGCTTATCCCATGGTGCAGCGTCCAGCGTCCGTCAACTTTTTCCTTTAAAATGCTACTTGTCCTGAATGGCTCAGAGGATTTTGACCAAATTTGGTCAGGAGCATCATTGGCCAAAGGGTTCTCAGTTTTGTATAAACGGAGGGTATAACCCCCCTGGGGGCAGAGGGGCGGGGCCAAATAGGGGGAAAATAGGTAAATCTTTAAAAATCTTCTTCTTCTCAACCAATAGAAG